TAACATATCAATAATATTTTTTTATCTATATATTGTTGAACCATACTTGAATGTGAAATATCTTCCCTATTTTTCTTTTAAAACATCAAATTTAAATTCATGTCAATAGCAGGTAAAAGAGATGGATGAGTTTATTTGAGATAATTCAAGATATTTTATAGTACTATCTTCTGTCCATCAAATGGTTAGGAGTGTTGACCAAGTAACTGCAAGAGTTGTTTGATTTTCCTGATTGTTCTTTTATTTTTTTCCATTTAACCGGAAGAACGAATGGTTTCATTGGAACGAACGCTTTCATTGGATGAAAAGAAGCTGAGCGTGATTGGCTGATGGTATGGTTCATTTACATACATTGCTGAAGTGGCGAGCGCAGAGTCGAGCGAGCGGAGAAACAGCCGAGCGCACAGCTGGTGTTCAGCGTGGAGAGAGCAAGTTGAGCGCGAGCAGAGATGAAACTGAGCGCGAGAACAGTGTGTTGAGAGGGTTTTTCAGAGTTGAGCGCGCGCCAGACCGGTTTTGCGTGCGCGCGTGTTGTCTCACTGCGCGCTCGGATTGGTTCCTGCGCGCTCAAACCACCCGGATGTTACAGCAGAAATCGAGACTCATCTAACCAGGCAATGCTTTCCAATCTTCTGTTGTATAATTTTGGTGAGTCTGCGCTAATTGTAGCCTCAGTTTCCTGTCCTAAGCTGATTGGACGGGCCCCCGCTGTGATCTCCTGCTGCTGTCGCCCATCAGATCCTAGATTAGACATGTTGTGTGTTAGACATTCTCTACTCTACTGCATACCTCGGTTGCCACATGACTAAATGCACTGAGTTGCTGCTGATTAATTGGCTGATAAGTAATTTGCATTAACGAGCAGCTGGACTGGTGTACTTGATAAAGTGGCTGGTGAGTTTATGTGCCTCACTTTTTACAGTATATTTCAAAGATAGAACGTTACTCCACCCACAGCGGAGTTAATTTCTCCTCTGTGAGATCAATAAAGTCAATCCATCAATCACTCAATCAATCAGTTATAGTTTGTGTTCCTTTAATTTGGTGGTTAACATTTACTAAAGCAAAGGGATCTTTGTTATATTTATTGCCTTTAGTTAAAAAGGCGTTTTTTGCCTAGTTTAATAAAGCTAAAATAGAAAGTATAGCAGCAACTTTGTTGTAAACTGCTTTACTTTTCAGAGCAAGAGAAGGTTAACAATCAGCCAGACTTACCACAATTTTAGCTCATGTGAAAAAACTTGAAATATAAAAGTTGTCATCCATGTGATGCAATATCATATTACTGGATATCTTACATCTTCACAAAAGGTTGTTGTTTCCCGCAGCATAACATCTGGAAGCGT